TCAGTGCTAACTGTCGCAAATTCAGAGCCAAATGTCGTTATAATCGTGTGATAGAGCCGTCTTTGAGGTGACACCGGCTGAGCGTTGGAGCGCCACTTGTGAATTGCCTCTCCACCGTACTGAATATCGGCAATACCGTAGCGAACTGCTTCTGGTGCACTCCAAAATAACGTGTTCATGACGTTGATGTCGTTGTCGATCAAAGCTCGCTCGTATTCAACAAAGGCCGCTCTAACTTGTGCGACCACTTCGGGTTTATTTATTTGCATGGCCATTGAATGCTGCTTCACTTCAAGTTTATCTATCTACAGATCGTCTTTGTTGGTAGAAGCGCAAGTTTTATTATATTAGTTAACGTGTGCACATCTTCACATTTGCGAGATAAGACTATTTATTTAGTTTCATTATTGTATATAGGCTCTCGTGTAAGAATTTTTTGCAAAGAATCAGACCATAGCATGTCGTACTGTTTTAGTATTTCGTTTTGAGAAAGATTCTACGGAAAAAATCGTCGTGCAAATCACTGATTTCGGTCTCAGTCGATATAGTCAACTGTATTTAGTAACATTAACTGCTGCGCAAAGAAGATTGATGAAAATCAACATATTTCTTGAATGTTGTTATAATAGCAATACATGAGAGTAGCGATTACATTTTATTTGTTGTAGAAAACAGTGATGGGATCGGTTCGGTTTGGTTCGAAAGTTTTTCCATTCGGTTTGAAGAAAATGAAATAATCACAATATTGAAATTATTTTATATAGAACAAAGATGAACAAAGAGAAGAAAGAGTGTTCTATTTTTGCAATTTATAACGAATAGAAATAAATTATACACATCACTGTAATTCATCTAGTCTGTTTCAGGCCTTTTCCATGTTTGAGAGTGATATTTATTATTTATTTCTATTCATTATAAATTGCAAACTATTATCGACATCAAAATGTAATGCACCTCGATATTTTTTTCGATATCTCGAGAACGAAAACAGTTACAAACCTATGGGTTTCACCATTCGAAAGAGAAATGTGAGGGAAAGTGAAACGCTGCTGAATTCGATTGGTCACTAATCGACCAATCGTGTGAGCATTCGTCGGGCATTTTGAAAACTGTCCAGGGAAACTATTTCTCATTGGATTTTAAATTTTAATGTGACTATTAGATGAGAAAAATTGTTCTTTCTCGTTCTACGCAAGACTGAGCTTACTAGCTTGCTTTGTTTAAGAGTTATAAGCATTTTCTGAGACCCCTGAAGTCGGCCAGGTAATCTTCAATCATCCTAAAATAGATCAAAACAGGAGTAACTGATCCCGCTGAGTCTAGTGGTTATATTTATTTTTTAGTTTCAAATCAATCTGAAGTTAGTATATCGAAGTTTTTGATTTATCTGTATTCTCATCGAGAAGTGATACTATCGATAACTTCAATATGCTTGCTTCAGATTGCTTGGAAACTAAAAACAAATATAACCACTAGACTCAGCGTGATCAGTTACCCCTATTATGATCTATTTTAGGATGATCGAAGGTTACCTGGTCGATTTTGGGAGTCTCAGAAAAATGCTTATAGCTCTTGAACAAAGGCAGCTAGCGAGCTCAGCCTTGTGTAGATAGAAAGCGAACAATTTTTCTCATCGACTAATCATATTGGAGTCTAAAATCCAATGAGAAACCTTTTCCCTAGACAGTCTTCAAAATGTCCGATGAGCGCTCGCACGATTGTTCAATTATTGACCAATCAAATTTGGCAGAGTTTTACGTCTTCCACTTTTTTCTTTCAAATAGTGAAAGCCACAGGTTTCTAGCTGCTTTCGTTCTCGAGATAGTTAAAAAATATCGATGCTCATTATATTTTGATGTCGATAGTAGTTCTACATTGAAGTGATTGGCTTAGCTGAGTCCACCGTTACTCCAGAGAGTCGTTTCGTAAGCCGTAATCTTATTTTGCAGAACTCACTAGAAAATAGTGAATGTATATTTGAATGCGAGCATCCAACTCTAATTTATCGCTACAGATACAACCCGTGTACAATTCTCAGAATGGAAGGAAGAAAGATCCACGGAAGTGTTATGAACGATGCATATTGTACTTTTCGCGTACTGTCGTTGTCGTTTAACCCTTTGAGGATGGGTGGGTTATTTTTCACCCACCTATTCTTCAGTAGAGAAAAAAGTGTTTAGTTCACATTAAACTATTAAATATGTTAGGTCATTAAGGTCATAAACAACTGCATGTGTCATCTCATACGTTTCTTTTCTTTCTTTCCTTCTCTCATATAAATTCTTTTCAAATATCCTTTGTTCTTGCTGCTAAGGTACAGTGTCTTCATAATTTCTGTCTTCTCCTCTGATCTTTTGTTTTTCGAGAATATTCTCATTCTCTGTTGAGTATATGTATACTCTCGTTGTCATTGACGAATTTACGTTGTTCTTGAATTTGCAAAGGATATTATTTCTCCTTCGAACTTGTACTCTTTATTTCTTTATACCGTTTTTACAATTAAAACTAATCAAATGGAATTCTATGGAAATAATGAAGCCGACGACCAGTCTTATGAGTCATATGCCAGTGATGATTCTAGCGAGAGTGACTTCGATTTCGATTACGATGAACTAGCCAATAACTTAGATGAGCTTGAACTTTTTGATGAAGGTTTTGATGTATATGAAGAGGAGCTGAATTCGGTGAATGAAAGTAATATCGCAGATGGCGGTTTTACCTCAATCTCTCTCAAAGAGCAAACTCCAGTTTCAGTCTTTAGAACCAGTTTTACTGAAGAAATTTTAAATCTGATTACTGATCAAACAAACATTTACGGAAAAGGAAAGAAACGACGTAACAATCAGAAGAAAACCAGTAACTGGAAGGATGTGAGAAAAAAGATATTAAATCGTTTCTTGGGTTGATTATTCTAATGGGTATCAATAACTTGCCAAATATGAAACTTTATTGGAGTAAATATATGGTATTCCATAATACATTTATTTCTTCGATCATGTCAAGAGATCGTTTTCTTCAATTTTTTTATAATTTACATTTGGCTGATAACTCATTGAAACCAAAACGAGAATCTAAAGACTACAGTACAATTTACAAAGTTAAGAATTTCACTGAAATTTTACGGAGAAATTTTCAAAAAAATTATAACTTAGGCCGCTATGGTACAATCGATGAAAGTATGATAAAATTCAAGGGAAGATCAAGCCTCAAGCAATATTTGACTCTAAAACCAATAAAAAGAGGTTATAAAGTTTGGTGTTTATGTGATCCAATCACTGGTTATTTATTCAGCTATCAAATCTATTTAGGAAAAGAGGAAACCAGTGGAAAAGAAACACCTTTAGAGCGAACGTGTTGTTTTTGATCTTATCTCTGGTCATAATTTCCAAGGGAAACATCTATATTTCGATAAATTTTTCACTTCTCTCAGATTATTAGAAAAGCTAAAGCTACAGAACATAAAAACCTGTGGAACTATTAGACCAGATCGAGCAGATATCCAGTCAGATTTTGCCAAGAAAAATAAAATTGAACAAGGAGATTCCAAGTCAATGATTGCATCAAACAGCATTGTCTTCATATGAATGGACACCAAAGAGGTTTTTTTTGATTTCAAATTATCATAAAGACAACGAAGTTGTTTCAATTTCCTGCCGTTTGGAAAATGGTCAACGTATTATAATTGACTGTCCAAAAGCAGTAAAAGATTACAATCAGTTTTCACATGGAGTTGACCGACTTAGCCAAAGAATCCCGTGCTACAAAGTCGTGGAAGACCTTCTTCTGAAAACAAGTCTAAACTAGCATCACCAAAAACTGTTCTTAGCTTTTGACAATGAAATGCATTTGCCTGTGACAGCAAAAAGAAGAAGATGTGCTTATTGTATCACCAAAGAAGCAGATTTTCGATCCAACATCAAGTGCTTTACTTGCAAATTGCCATTTTGCTTAAGAGATAAAAAAAATTGTTTTTTTGATTATCATAAGGTTTTTATGTAGGTATTTTGAGTTAAAATAAAATAGAAAGGTTGAAAAATGTGATTGCGATTAAAAAAATTCCGTCCTCAAATGGTTAAGCATGCATACAAATAGAAGCTATCTAAAGTATTAGTTCGTCAGCGGTAAATGTAATTATTGAACACTATTGAAGTAGTTACAAAAAACCTTCACCGTAAAAAATGGGCGTAGAATAATAAACCCTTGAAAATAGTTTATGAACTTCATAAACCCTCTCGCATACTCTTTTTGGGGTTTATTAGTATTATATACCCTTTCATATAGCCTTTGAGTTCATAAACCCTTTTAGTTCATAAACCCGTTGCACTTTCATAAACTCTATAGGGTATATGAGTAGTAATATACTCTTTAAAAGTTTATGAACTTCATAAACCCCTCGGAAAAGCGTGTTTTATTGTACAAATTTCTCTAAGGGATACAATAAAACACGCTTTCCCGAGTATCACATACCCTTCGTAGGGTTTATGAACTAAAAGGGTATATGAAAGGGTTTATAATACTAATAAATCCCAAAAAGGGTATGCGAGAGGGTTTATGAAGTTCATAAACTCTTTTCAAGAGTTTATTATTCTACGCCCATTTTTTACAGTGTTCGCCGACATTTAGCTAGTTTTGACTTATTAACACACCATGTAGCAATCTATTGACAAGTTTCTAACCACGATGGACGTAAAAGTGATAGTCAGATACTTTGAAAGATTTCTTGGGATTATTAGAGATTGTCAGAGATTGCAAGAGATTTCTAGAGATTTCAAAGATCGTGAATCTCTAAAATCTCTCCTTTTCTCCCTTATGCCCGATAATACACTTAATCAACGACGCTAAAAACTTTTCATTTTGTAACTAGAACAAAGTTTGAATAAAAAAATTTTCAATTACAGTTTCTTTGAAAATAAGGAGACATTTTACTGACATTAGTAAAGAATACGACTTGAGTACGATGATACAATCCATTATAATATAAAGAGCATCAATTCACTCTGTTAAAAGTCATAATAATAAAATATTAAAAACAGTATGACGAAGCGTGCAAAACTTAATCTATTCCCATATTCATATGGGCTACTGTTACCAAACATTTCAGATAGATCATCTTGTTCAATTTGATCAAATATCAAGCAATCATTATTCCATGTTTCAACGGAAAATTCATGGAAAGGTGTAAATTGTAAGTATTTTTGTTCTGATGGATCATATTTTGGCCATTGGTTTAATGGTTCTCCTTTTGAAGCCATACTAATCCAGTGTGAAATAATTTGATTTGAATATGTTCGTGTGTGATTATCCCATGTACAGTTAACTGGATTCATTGAGCGATAATCACTTTCAGTTCCAAATACTAATGGAAGTTCTGATGCATGAAGGCATAGGCCAGCACCTTCTTCTTTAGATAATTTAGGACATATTCCTGGATTATAATCCATATTATACCAAAATAATTTGTGCTGTTCTTGATTATATTTCAAATATATATTATTGTATATACGACGAATACTACAACCAATAATGGCATCTATAGGTGATCGAGTTATATCACAACAACGATTTGTGGCATTTATATTTGATGAACAGTTGTTGAATTGATAATAATTAATAACTGTAGGTGCTCGGTTTTGTCCTAAAATATCAGTTATTATTGATACAGCTAATGTAGAGTTCATTTCAGGGAATATTGGACAATATGATCCTTCATATTTATTAGCACCAATTATTTTACTTATATTTTGATTATATTTTCCATTCTGAATGGCCAATAGTGGATGATACGGTAAAAAATAACCATCAATAACGGACTTCGATGGACGGTTACCGTAAACCATGATTAAATCATGAATAGAAGAATTACGTAAACATACAAGAAGCAATTTACTCGTATGATTTGTGCAGTTCATTTGTTCAACAATTGTGTTTGATCTTTGCATAGCAAAAGTCTTATTTGAATAAAATATAGAACTACTAAATCCACCTGATTGTGATATAATATGTTGATAGAGATTAGAGGATCCTTTTAATGCACCAATATCAACAACCGATTTTCCTCCAGAACTTTCTCCAAATAATAAAACATTGTTAGGATTACCACCATAATCACGAATATTGATATTGATCCAACGTAATGCTGATAATATATCTAAAAAATTATAATTTCCTGCTGTTGGCCATTCAGAATTTTCTTTAATTAATTCCGTTAAATACATGTCAGCCAATACGCCTAATCTATAATTGATTGTTACAATAATGATTGGTTGTTGAGGTGAATTCGCAATTATATTTGTGCCATTGTATAATATAGGAATACTTTGTGATGAACAACCACTTGTGAGACCACCACCATGAATCCAAACAAGAACCGGCAACAAAGATTCATTTGATTTGTTTGATGGCGTAAAAATATTTAGATATAGACATTGTTCATCTTGTAAAGGCATGTATATTCCAGTATTTCGCTGAGGGCAACATGGACCAAATACAATTGCTTGAAATGAACCATTTGAAAACATGTCAGACGCAAGATCAATTGGTGGTTCCCATCTATTTGTCTTAGCATATTGAATTCTATGAAACATTACATTAAGACTGAGATTAAGCACCTCGATAAGTGTATACAAATATGTGTATAGACAGTCAATAGACTCGTTTAAAAATCATGAGCCACAACGTATGCCAGTTAAAAGAAATTCTTTTTCTTCTCACGTTTTTAAAAATTCTTTCATTTTTTTCTTTTTCTTCAAAGTTACAACTAATCATGAACAAGATGGTCCAAAAATCACTACACCGATGAAAATATAGATCATAATATACAGTGCAAAAGTCTTGACAAAAATGTCAAGCCATATTTCTCAGCCTCGGGCTGTCGGACGAGCTTGACTTTTTGTTGTTTGAAAGAATAGATTTGTCTAGCAAACTATTTTTTATTTTATACAACAACATTCTTTCGATTGATCTTAAAAGGATCTAGCAACATGCGAAAAATTTTGTTTCGCAAATGATAGCACTCGTAAGCCTATGAGCTCTAAATGAAATACATTATTGGATAGGTCCTCAAAAGCTCTATCCAACGTATATCTTTCGAATTTTTTTTACATATGTTTTTTCAAGGTGTTGTAAACTAATTATTATTTCAATGTTTATCAAATCTATATTCTAGCACATGAGGCATTTTGAAGAACAGAGTTTTTGCATCGACAGCATGATCAAAACTAAACTTTAAATAGATCATTCGATAGAGCTTGCAGAGATCTATTTTTGGCTGTGTAAAGTTAAAACTCCGAAAGAAGCAATACTGCAAATCGAGCGGCAGAAAATAGTAAAAAACGGACTGCAAGGATATTTTGAGTGCTGCTCCGCATCTGACTTTTGCCTCGATAAATCAAACATCAAATTTTAACTTCTTTTGCCTGTTTTTTTTCTGTAGACTTTGCTATTTCAAACAAAAAAAATTCAAGCTGATCCGACATTCCCTAGCTGCGAAATAAAGGTTGTCATTTTTGCCAAAACTTGTGCATTGCATGTTACCCGTTCTATATTGATAAAATATGCTGATTTTCTACCACTCATAAACATAAATTTTATTATTGCTCTAGCTTAGCTAAGTCGTTACATTTTTCTCTGCACTTGCTGACATGTGAATTCTCATGGATCGGATCACACATAAAGAACTTGATTTTTCATGCAAATTTCTTTCATTTTTTCAGATCCTATTGAATGCCATCATTAACGTTCTGTTCAAGGACACTACATCCATCTTTTACTTTTCTTTTGACTGCTTCTAAATCAAAGAGCTTCTATAATCTCACCCTAAATATTCCCTTGAATGTTCGGTTTGTCGACCGTATATAATACCTTTCCTGGTTTGAAGTCCAATATGTGCAGCAGCACTAATTATCATTGTGAAAAACACAATCTGACACAATAATAACAATATTAATCTGTACAGGTTCTGATGAGCCATCTAAAATAAATCGTTCACGTATGATTATAATCTTCTTTGTTGAAGAATGACCGAAGCAAAATTGAAGTCAAACAAACGAAGTTGAATTCGACAGAGAACATGAACGTTGTTTATTGTGCTCTTTGAGTCTGAAAATTCTGAAAAACCTTTTCAATCTAAAATACTATAATATCATAACTATGACCGATCATTTGCAGCAAATAATTTTTTTTTGCTAAAAAAAATCAATTTTAAAGATCGCTTAAGGCGTATTTACATCTAGTAACAGCATCGCTTATCATTATGCATTGGAAAAAGAAGAGACTTCTCGAAGTATGAAATATGAGAAAAGAATAAGCCAAAATAATCATACGTGACTATTATTATACATAAGAATTGAATCGAAAAAAAATTATTTAATAAAATTGTATTTTGGCATCGTTCCCATTGACATTTCTCGAATTTCTTTTGTATCATCTCTCTACAAACACCAAGCATTGCTATGATATATTACTTGTTGTTGTCGACTAGAAAAACCGATTGTGTTTATGTTGAAAACTACAACTATTTCGTATGATCAAATACAACTTAAAAAAAAAAGATTCGCATCCGAAAGCAATAGATGTTAATCCATTCAATCATGACGCGATCATGTCGGTCTTTAGCCTGCTCGAAAGGTGTCTATTAATATAGGACTGGTTACTTTGATTCGACTTTTCGAATTCTACCTTGATTTTATGAACTCTGGTTAGAGGATTCTGATCTCTTAGAAAATTATAAGACTTGTCCTTTCATCACTCTCATATAAGCAGGTGATCTCTGGTGTCCCCAATGCCCTGCTCAGAGGTCCCAGCAAAATGCCATCGTGCCCTTGAAGTTGAAGATTCGAACCAGAATTTATCAATTCGGATAGACTTTTCGATTCGCACATGTATGAAAATTGTATCAATTAAAAAAGCTATTACCGGCATGTTCTCCTGACAAACTGTCCGAATTCAGACGCCGATTTCTCGACTGTGAAGCGCTCTTCTGAGTACAATTCCTTGAATGAATCACAGAACTCTATCTGACAGTAATACTGGAATTTTCCTAAGTAAATGTATATTACGCTATATTTATGTAGCCATGTGAATACATATTTCAGAAATCATTATCTTGAACACACTGAAATGGAAAATTTTGAAACTTTGTGTACAATCTATGTCAATTAAGAGCTTTGCGTAGACAAAATTTTAAAGTGAAATTCCATCATATAGTTTTAATGTTGAACCGAAGCTATGTAGGGAAGAAACCACAAAAATTTGACTGTCTCTGCAAACGACATGCATCTGAGCGAGTTCTTCGTAATTGCTACTGATTTGATGAAGATCTGCTTGTGAAAAATTTCAAGTCGAAACTCAACCAGCGCTTAGAGAGGCTCATGCTGTGTCTTTCTTTCTCTTCCCGATGTGAAATTCACTACCTTTACAAATAAATTATTCAACCCATACATGAAGTTACTTGAATGTAGCTATTTTTATGCAGTCAAAGCTAGCGGGTGAAGCAAGATAGCATTCTCTGCTTTCAATCATCCATTCAATACACAGTGAATCCACATGAGTAGCTAACTTCGAAATTATTCCAGCGATGCATCCATCATCACTGCTAGAAGGGATTTCGAGTATCATTCAAGGAATTGTGCTCAGAAGAGCGCTTCACAATCGAGAAGTCGGCGCCTTGAATTCAGGCCGTTGGTCAGGAGAACAGGTCAATGATAGCTCCATTAAAGGGTAGAATTTTGTACGAGAAACTATGTAATGCTCATTTTGATTTATAAGACTCCCATTGATTCATGAAAGAAAGCAAAATTGAATCTTGAGTCTAATAGACTTTCTACTCTAATAGTAAAGATCTGTTTGGTGTAAAACTTTCAGAGAATCTCATAGAGTCAATCTGAAGATACGTTTCAATGATCACTGGAATCGCCTTCATTCAAACCCATGAGAAAACTTGTCGACGCCGGAAAAGCCATAATCGACATCCGGCGAGAAGTCTGATATACTAACACAGAGCGAACGACGCTCCCCACAACGTGCAAAGCTACCGCTCACGAATAATAGGACTGACGTATATGCTCGTATAGATGCCAGATAAAATACGGCCGTATGTCGTTGTATACGATCGTATTTCATTCAGCACGTATAAGATGTCGTATTTTTTTGATCTACACAATAAATTACTAAACAACTTACAAATCTTCTTTATTTATATCTTTATGCCCGCATTACGAGATAGCTTGAAGTGATTGTAAAACAGTAAAATTGGTGTATAATTTACTGTTTTGCAATAAAGAAGGTTATCGCATAATAACGACCTGAAACTATAAATTAAAAACGGTTTGTTAGTTGTTTAGTGATTTACTGGACACCCTGTAAAAGGTTTTTTTAAAAATCTTGTGTCTGATTTTCGAAATACAATGCATTATAATAAAAAGTGTTAGAACAGAAAGATGCGCCATAAAATTCTTGGTATTTTAAGTGGGATAGAATTTTCATTTTCGAGACTGTGGGCGTGAGTTAGAGCCCATCGGGTTCACAAATTTGGGGGGGCTTGGGTGTGGGTCGCTAGGACAGATCTTTGCAAGACAAATCGTCGCATTGGCAAAACTTTGCAAGGATAGATGTTCACATGACCAAAACGTTGGAAAATACTTCCGGATAAAACAGAAGTACTAGTAAGTAAATCATATTAGCAAAATCCATTAGCATCTCTTTAACAGTGTAATCTCTATTAAGTTATTCAAATATGACTATTCCAGTTTTATTTCTGATTTTTTAATCATTCAATCTATTTCAAATATTCACTATTCTAGAATAAATATTAACAACAACACACGATGCACAAAGGATATTTTAATTAACAATTTTCAAACTATAATATTGGCACTAATGTTCTTCAAATATTGGTCCAATTGATTCTTATCGTACATGTTGATCACTCGTGTTATTCTTTCATTAAGTTTCCGATAACTTAATTTTTTTAGCTGTGGTTAATGTCTTTGCAGGATTTGTTGAATATCGATTTCGAACTTTGATTGTTCTCGACGAATTTTGTCAGCAAGTTTTGCAGCTGAAAGATGAGCGATGGACACGCGCTTAGCGAAAGCGTTGTGTCAGGCTTCTACCGAATTGTTGGATCGAGGAAGATCATTGATAACGCATTCATATACGTTTCATAGTTCATAAATGAATTTTTGTTTTTTTCTTCCCATTTCTACAACGATAACTTCCTAGTAAGATTTACTGAAATAAATAATCGTTTGTTTTTTCTTCTCACCAATTCATGTCTCTTCAAAGTATTCAACGAGATTATCTATATCATCGTCGAAGTGGCCAGCAATCAAGTCAAGTGCTTCTACCACGTCGACAGCTGGTACAAAAGGTAAAGACAACAATTCTCTCATGTTTAAGTGGAAATAATCATCTTCTTCATATTTTTTTGATAAACTGTTGTCTTGTATATGACGCCAAATGCATTGTCCATAATGAAAAAGACAGCCTAAAGTATATAATTATGATTAGAATACATAGGTTCAATATTTAGGTTACCTCTGTGTTCAACATTGGGAAAAATTTCTTTAATGGTTTTAGTTGTTGCTGATTCAAAATCACTAAGTATTGATTCCAGTGCAAAATTATCTTTTTCTAAAACTTTTTCAAAAAAATTCTTATAATCGGAGGCTTTTTTACCAATTAATAAGCTATAAACGAATGGAATGATCACTGATTTTAGCAACGTATGTAATGTAAATAGTTGATAAAATTCGTCCGGACACACTTATGGAAACAACAATGGTCAAATTAATTAAAGTTTATTTGTCCAAACCTTGAATGTGCCGTCAACAAACCAGTGCTTGCAGTCCTTCAATAAAGATAAATTTGTTTTTGTGGTAAAAATAATCATTTCATTCTATTCATGTAATATAAATTCTTCTCCACGATCTGTTTCCCGTAAAATGTCAGGTGAAAGAGTATTTGAATCCGAATGTGGTGCTGAACGTTGTCGTCGAACACTTCGCATTAATGATTCAGTTTTTGGTAAACTATGAACTGCACTTAGAGACATGAATCGTAATGACGAATGTAAAATAGAGCTTGAAGCTTCATCGGATGTTGCTGCTTTCATTGTAATTTGGTTCTTTAGTTACAATGCTGGAATACGTTCTGGATTCGAAGAATGAGAATGTGTACTGCATTCTGACAGAAATGAATCCATAGTCAGATTTGTATGACATCGAGCTAAGAAGAAAATCGAAGTTTTTTCAATGGATTCGGCATTACTTGTAAAATTACTTTACCTTTACAATCTCGGTTTTGGCACCGAAAAATGCATTTTGTTATTGTTGTTCGCTCCAATATATAAATAAAGCCAGAGTATACCACCATAGGTTTTCCTTTTTGTGAGAACAATTTTTCAATACATGACGTTTCTTGTATTTGTAAAAAATGAATGAATATGCAGAGCAACTTTTTTTATTTATATCAATATTTCAATTAGATATTTTATTCAATTTGTCTTTTAATTGAATAAGCAGATTAATCTTAATTATCAGAGCAAGGATAAGTGTGGATGTGAGTGTGGTCGTGAGAGAATAGAAGATAAATACCTACACAGACACCCATATTCACACCCACACCCACACCCACAGTCAAACCCACACACCTCACAAATTCTTGGTTTTCTTTTCTTTGTTCTTCCATCGACCACTTACAAGAGAGAGTTTATTGAAACATGGACCACTCAGAAGTTCTTCAGATGGTTATTCAATCTACTTGACAATGCCACTCGTATAGGATGAAAGCGAAGATAAGATCTAGTCAAAAAAGAGACCATTCATGGAATAGACTTTGATCAATATTCAATTGAAAAAGATATCTGTAGGCGTTCGAGTTATATTTGAATTCTCGTTGTTTTTGCTGTGTCGATGAAGATCAATTCTATCTTAAGGGTAAGGATGAATGGGTGTAATTAATATATTTATTCTCACTCTCACGCCTCACTAGGTTAATATTGATTGTGTATTAAACACTGCTATCTGTGCTTCACTTTTACTATCTATTCATCGAAAGAATAAGTTTTAATGAACTATATGGAGGGTAAGAGTGACGGTGCGTGTATACGAAATTCTGAGAAGAACAGAAATAATCTTTCATTTCATCGATCTACGGCTATGATACATAGAAAATCTTTATCGAATATCTGTGGGGACATGTTTCAAATAGCATAAACAACTATTTCAATGAAGATCACGCAATCAGAAGGGCGTGGGTGCGGGTATGGTTGCGGATCTTGTCCTCATCCGCATTCACACCACACCCACACCCACACACCCGACACCCACACCCCACACCCACACTCCACACCTCCACTCCATACCCCCACCCCACACTCACACCCCACACCCACACCCACACCCCATACCCCACACCCCACACCCACATCCGCACCCATACCCAAGCTATTCTTGGCCCTTGAAGTCCTGCTATAACAGGCTACCTATGGGCCCTCAAGTCCATTACTGTGTGGTACTCTTGAAACCTCAAGCCCTATACCATGAGGTACCTTTGGATTCTGAAGTGCTACAATACGGATTATCATTGGGTCCTCAAAAGCCTACTCCCCGTAAGTTTTGCCTCCTTCATAAATGTGATTACTCAGCCAATTCATGGACACAAATACAAGAAAAACTGAATACTTGGCGCACTTTCGCAGCTCGGAAATGTCAACCAGGAAAGGAAATATGAAAAGTCCCCGCAAGCAAAGTTGGCTTCACCACTATAGCCCCTATGGCACACACATGAGCCGAACCTATTTGCACGTTAGCCAATCACTTGTCTGACTACCGTTAATGAAGTAAAATGTAACTTTCCATACGAACAGAACCGTTTAGTCTTACAACTTCAGTGTACGCAAATACCGTTCTCCTATTCAATACTAAAACCTCATTTTCAACAACACAACGAAAACGACGACACGTGAAATCCCTCACTTCTGATTCGTCAGAGAGCCCGTCTCTTCGACCGTCAAAATCGACTGCACCGCTCTGAGACACTAACCCAAAGCTCCGCTTTCCCAAAGCTGGTTTAGACTCCCCAACCTTTATAAACCATCGTTATTTCCTTACAAAACTCATCGCTCTGATGAATAATGCCAGTGTCGAACTTTTCTTTATTCCATCCCCGGTTGCCCTCTAAGCAAGTAGTAACTTTTCTCAGAAACTCATTCGTACGAAAAAGGTTAGGTTACACCACTGCTCTCTATCCTTTAGCGCTTCAAAAAATCTCGGTACCCAATATGATAGTAACACGGCAATTCAACTTTCTCCATCCAGCGGTACTTCAAAACTATTGAGAAACCGTTCAGAAACAGCTTTAAAGACTTCAAGAGTGTATACCAGAGTCCATGACGTCCTACGCATATCCTCCAAGATTGATGTTTATGCCTGGTCGTCTCTTGTATATTATGGCTCATGTAGAAATGAAGGTACTCCGTGAGTTGCGAAAGTTCCAGAGATGAAATAGTTACACCCACAGGGTAACGGACAAGTTATCGTCCTCAACTGTTACCCTAGAACGAGGAAACTGCCTCGTTACGAGATATTCAGTAACGATAAGGTCAGGTTCCTTGTATCTCCTAGTATACGACTAGACGGTCCAAGAGTACCGTATAGTTTGGAACATGAGGATCCAAGACTACTTCCTATAGAAGGGTTTGAGGACCCAAATGCACCGCCTATGGTAATATCTGAGGACCTACAAGTACTCCCTTACTATAGGATTTGAGGACCAAATGGTAGCTTCTTAGTACAGGACTTGAGGACCCAAGAGTCCCCACCCAGCATAGGACTTCAGGACTCAAGGGTACCTCTCTATAGCAGAACTTGTGGAATCAAGAGTGCCCGCCTAGTGTAGGTCTTGAGGAGGCAAAGGTACCTCCCTATAGTAGAATGTGAGAACCCAACTGTAGCCCCCTATAGTAGGACTTGAAGACCCAAGTATACCGTTACCAGTTATTCGGTAATTTTCCATCTCTATTTTAGTTAAGTGTCATTAAATAAAATGGTCCACCCTCTTTAAATCTTAAAATCTGCTTTTTCCCTCTGGGGTGTCGGTGTAGGTGGGTGTGGGTGTGGGTCGGTGTGGGTATGGGTGGTGTGTGCGTGTCGGTATGGGTGTTGGTGATGTGTGCGTATGGGTATGACTATGGATTTGAGTTTGAGTGTTCTTTTTGCAGTAATACTCATACCCACACCCACACCCTTTTCCACTCGTATACTATCATCTATAATATTGAGCACCATCATTTAGTAGATGATCGATACCTATAAGGACCACCGATCGTTAGGTCATGCATAGTTCGTAGGACCAGAAGTTGTTAGGATATCCATTATTCTAACGGCGAGTTTTGGCTACGTCGTGGATAATTATATGGAGGAACATCAATTAGATCATGCGTTGTGTGGTTAATGGTACGTATAGTTTGATACAATTGAATATTATGTTTATTAATGGGTTGCTCGTTTGTTTAGATTGATGGTGGCTGCTTATTTGAAAGTAAGTTTTATTTCTTTTTATGAAATTTTTCATTTTTGTTATGGATTGATTCAGAATTCTGATTCAACGGCAAATTTATTTGGTTAATGTTCGATTTTTTTGTCTGGCGCGTATTAATCTTCAGTCGATACTTAAGTGTAAGTTTGCTTCTTTAAATATATTGTCTGATTTCTGTTGTAAATCGATGGAAATTTCCCATTTATGAGTATGTTTATTTCGTTCAATAAATGATTCTTTTTGTGTTTCAGAGTCGAGTGAGATCTTGATTGTCATGTTAGTTTATTGGCGTAAATAACTGATTATTTGTTTGTTGTGGATGAGTTCGCAATCCTGATATGAAAGTAAGTTTATTGCTTTTAGTTGGCGGTTTTTTTTAGGAGGGTCTATTCACAGATTTGATGTAAATAATAATTTTCGTTTTCTATGTGAGGTGAGAGCCCTTGGAAATGATAAATCGCTTTCGAGTTGAGCCTCTGTGCATAAGATAAACTTCTGTGGAATAAGAAAAACGTTGAAGGACGCCTTTCATTATTTATCCCTCGAAGGCTATCCTTATATGTTATTAGAATTGTAGTTGAATTCTAACGAGTAACCGTATGTAGCTGTTAAATTGGTTTTGAGTTCGAGCCCTGTGTGTCAAATAGATCTGAGTGAAGTATGAAAAACTCCAAATGAACGAGGACTCATAAGTCTTCTTTCGAAAGTTATAATCACTTTCCCTGAATTTTAACCTATAGTGCCGTAGATATTAGTGAACTGAATAAGACTATTTCTATTTAGGATTTCACGGACGGAACAGTCTATTTATTAGGAGATTGCTCCAAAATTTTTAACTGAAAAGAATGCGTTTTTTCCAGAGATATTGAAGTTCACAAAAAATACAACACTTCATCATCTTTCAGGAGATATGAGTGGTATTGTTGAACTTTAATATCTCTGGAAAAGACATTCTTTTCAGTTAAAACTTTTGGAGCAATCTCCTAATAAATAGACTATTTCGTCCGTGAAATCTTAAATAGAAATAGTCTCATTCAGTTTACTAATATCTACGGCACTATAGGTTAAAATTCAGGGAAAGTGGCTATAACTTTCGAAAGAAGACTTATGAGTCCTCGTTCATTTGGAGTTTTTCATACTTCATTCAGATCTATCTGACACAAAGGGCTCGAACTCAAAACCAATTTAACAGCTACATAGGGTTACTCGTTAGAATTCAACTACAATTCTAGTAACATATAAGGATAGCCTTCGATGGATAACTAATGAAAGGCATCCTTCAAGGTTTTTCTTATCCCACGGAAGTTTATCTTATGCACAGAGGCTCAACTCGAAAGCGATTTATCATTTCCAAGGGCTTTTTTATTAGATGAGTATGCCTTGGAAGGTTTTGTATGAAACCATTTGTACGAAACCTTTCTGACTTTTCCCGGTAAAGATTTCGTACTGAACTTCCTATACGAAACCATTTTTCCCATTCACCAAGAAGAAGTTTCATACGAAGCCTTCTTTTTACGAAACCAAAAAAGGATCTGATTGTGGGCACATCGTCAGATCCTTTTTTGGTTTCATAAA